ACGACGCTTCGCAAGCCCCAGTGCTCACCCACGCCTAATTTTTCCCCTTTTTCTAACAAAACCCTCCTCTAGTTTGGTGGGTTTGCATTTTTTTTGGCAAATAGCGGGTTTTTTCTATCGCTCTTTTCGGAGTTGGAGGTTTTTACTGGTGCTACGGGGCAGGCCGAGGTCGGGGGGGAGGCGGTGGCTCCTTCTCCGTCCCGGCACTATTAAACGTGGATAAACCCAAACTGGCAGCGTACGAGGGGTACTTTTTTTTGGGGGGGGGTGGTGTTTTGGGGATGCCCAGCGGTCCGACGGGCCGCCAGCATTGAGTCAGGTCCCTGAATAATAATAATTAATAATAAATAGTAATAAATAGTACTAATAATTACCACTATTTTCTCTAAGATCCAGGCAGTCCCCCAGAGCTGCGGCCCCTGAGAAGGGGAGAAAAATCCCCCAAACGCCAACGCACCAGGCTGTTCGCTATAGGGGAACTGCAAAATTGCCCAATGCTAAACACCACGCTATAGGATAAACACCACAGTCTAGGGTAAACACCACGCTATAGGATAAACACCACGCTATAGGATAAACACCACGCTATAGGATAAACACCACACTATAGAAGAGAATGGCACACCTATAAGGGAATACAGACTATGAAGAGAGCTGCACATTATATAAAAACTGCACTACGTGCTATATAAGAGAACTGCACAATATAGAGAGCTAAATACTACAGGACTGTATACAATATAAGAGAATTGCACCCTATATGAGCTACACGCTCTAACGAGAGCTGCGTGCTGTAAGGGAACTACACACTACGCGAGAGTGCACCCTATGTAAGAGTGTCCACAATACAGAGCCGCACACTATATATGTGTCCACAATATAAAGAGCTGCACGCTATATAAGAGAACTGCACGCTATATAAGAGAACAGCACCCTATATGCTCTGCACGCTATATAAGAGAACTGCACGCTATATAAGCAAGCTGCATAGTATATGAGAACTGCACACTATATAAGAGAGCTATATACTGAGCGGCATGCTATATGGGTTGCACGCTGTATGCGAACTACACCCTGTGAGAGCTATATGCTATACAAAAGCTGTACGTGCTGTATGAGAGCTGCACATTGTATACGAGAACTTCACGCTCTAAGAGCTGCACCGTATATGAGAACTGCATGCTATATAAGTGAGCTACGTGCTATATAAGAGAGCTACGTGCTATATAAGAGAGCTACGTGCTATATATGAGAGCTACGTGCTATATAAGTGAGCTGGCTGCTGTGCATGATGTACAAGAGACCTATACAGTATATAAGAGGGCTGCATGCTATATGAGAACTACACGCTATATAAGAGAACTGCACGCTACATAAGAGAACTGCAACCCATATGAGCTGCACGCTATATAAGAGAACTGCACCCTATATGAGAACTGTATCCTATATGAGCTGCACGCTATATGAGACCCGCACCCTATATAAGCGATCTGCACGCTACATAAGAGACCTGCACCCTATAGAAGTGAGCTACATGCTATATGAGAGCTGCGTGCTATATAAGTGAGCTACACACTGTATAAGAGAGCCGCACACTGTATGAGAGCTACACGCTATATAGGAGAGCTGCACACCATATAGGGGAGCTACACTACACAATTTCTTATAAGAGACCTGGAGAACCTCCCCGAGCCGAACCCCTAAAGCCCACGCTATTTCCTATAAGTGAACCGAACCCCAACCTCCACCCTCCCTGCTATAGGGCAACCCGAGCCCTAAACACCGCAGGACCCCAGCAGAGACCCACTCTCCCCCCTTTTCTATAGGGGAACCGGGCAGCACCCCAAAATCAACCCCCAACACACCCTTCATTTTCTATAAGACTCAGAAATTTGCCCCAACCCCCTATATACCGCACTGCTTTCTATAAGAACCCCCTCAAATTCAGCTGCGCTATTTCCCCCAACAACTGCCCCCAAATCAGACATTTTACACCCCCCCAAACCCCCTAAAGCACCCCAAAAATCATCGCCCGCAGCCCCTCCTCCTGGGCCCGGGCCTGGATGGCCAGGAATCGCTCCAATCATGGAAAAAACCCTGAGAAACTGGGAAAAAAAACCACCCAAAAAATCAGAAAAGCCCCCAAAAAATCAGAGCCGCAGCGACCCTTACGCTTTATCTCTCGGATACTCTACGTAGAAAACGGGGCGGCGGGGGCTCGCGCCGCCCCCCCTTTACAATATAATAAAGAAAGTAATAAAAATAATAACCCCCCCCCTTTTTTAATTATTATGTGCACAAAAAATGAACTTTTTTTTTTTATGCTCTTTCATGCACGGTTTCTTTAGCACCACGGTGAGGATCCGGAGCGGGACGGGGAGCCGGGAGAGGAGGATGGGAAGGGGTTGGGATCCCGGGATGCGGCCGGCGAAGGGGGGTCCCCTCGAACTCAGCACCCGCCGCAGCTGCGGGCGCAGGATGCAACCACGGTTTGGCAGAGCCCGCTGGTGGCCATCACCCCGCACTTGGAAAACTTGTCGCGGCAGAGATCGGCTGCGGGGAATAGCGGGAAAGAAAAAATCCGTGGATGTAGGAAAAACAGGCGGAAAAACAGCGAGGGACCCCCCCATGGGGACGGGGACATGGTGGGGTGGCTCAGCCCCCCCAAAATGGGATCCCAGTTTGGTCCATTGGTTGCGGAGCGAAGCCCGGAGCTAAGTCATTTAGTCGCTGGGACTTTTTTCCCCCTCCCCATGGAAAAAGGGGTGACCTGGATGGGGATCACCCCAATTTGGGGTGCCCCCCCCCCCTTACCTCGCAGCAGCTCTTCGTGGGCGCACACGGTGCGGACGCAGATCTCCTTGTTGATCACGTAAACCCGGCGGAGGCTGGATGTTGGGGGGGAGGGGGGGTAAAAAAAAAAGATGGGGGGTTTAATGCAAAAGCAGAGGGGCTCCCCAAAATATGGGGGGGGGGGCAGGGAAGCTCCCCCACACTCGCCTGTAAAAGCAGATCTCGTTCAGGCACTGCTTGCAGGGCTTGTGCACGGAGTAGAGCCTGGTGCAGGGGTACTGCTCCTCCCGGCAGTCTGCAAGGCGAAAAGGCGACTGGTTTTTAATGGGGGTCTGGGAAATCCATGGGGGGAGGCCTGACGCCGCGGGGATGGGCTCAGCGTCCACTCGACGCCTTCCCCCCGCCCTAATTTTTGCCCCGGCGCATCCTCACCCCAGCCGGGCTAAATGGGGGCTGAACCCCCCGCCGGGGAGCAAGGAGGGGGCTGAGCACTCACCCAGGGGTCCTGGCTCCGTGGGCTCGGTCTCGGGGGCAGCAGCTGGGGGGAGAACAAATTTAGGGCTGGAGGAAAGGCATCCCGCTGCCTGGTCCCCGGGTTTTAGGGCTGGAGCATCCCGCCGGCGCCCGCGAAGCTGCGCCAAGGGGAGCGCAGCCGGGCGAAGGGTGCAGGGGAGGGATGGAGCCCCCCAGCCCCGGGCTGTCGCCCACCTGGGGTCGGGGCCGGCACGATCTCCTGCTGGGACTGCTGCTGGGACTGGTACCGAAACTGCTCCTCGGGGGCACGGGGGGTGACATCTGCAAGGAGAGGGACAGTGCGGGCGCACCCCAAAAACCTGCCCCCCTCCCGGCATCCCACAGGGGAAAAAACTTACCGTGATAGTCGTAGTAATCCTGAATTTCTGGGGAATCAAAACAGAAAACAGAGGAGAGGCTGAGGATGGGTTTTAGGGAGAAAACGCGGCCCACTGGGGCAGTGAGCTCCCCAAAATTTTGCAGCTGGTCTGAGTGATGGGAAAACACCCTCCAGCCAGCCCAGGAACGAACCTGGGCAACATCCCACCAGGGATTTCTTTAGCTGAATAAATAATTTCTAATAATTTTTAAATATATTTTAGGTATTTTAATTTTTAAATAATTTAAAAATAATTTTTATTTTTTTTAAAATAATTAATGAATAGTTTTAAAATAATTTTTAAGCTTAATAACTAATCGGCAGTGTGAAGAAGGGGAAAGGAGAGGCACGTACATAAGGAGGGAGATGGGAAGGTGGGAAGGTGTTAGAAGGAGCTTGAAAATTTAAGGGGCGGGAGAAAAAGGATGGAGCAAAGAGTATCAAAGCAGAAAGAGGCATCCGACCGATGTGTATTTGGCCAGAGAAAGCAAAAAAAAGAAAGGAAAAAGAGAGGGGAGGGAGGCGGGCAAAGCCTCTCCCAGTTCAGGGTGCTCTAACCTGATTGCTGGTCGTACTGGGAATATTGTACCGGCTCGGGGTAGGTGATGCCTTCAAACCTGCTGTACTGTCCCTGGACCAGGAGCGCTGCTGGGGAGACAGGGGCGGGGGCGAGGCATCACTGGGAGGGGCACGGCCGCCCCCAGCCCCGCGATTCGGGGTTCCCTGCGCTGCCTCCACCTCTCCGGCTTCACGTCGTCCCCCAAAGCATCGTCCCGTAGCTGTCCTCGAGCAGGGGCACGCCGCCCGGAGAAGCGGGAGAGGAAAGCGGGATGCTCACCGACGGGGGACCAGCACCAGCCCGGGATTCCTACATTATCCGGGTGCAGCCGGGGATGATCCTGGGCGATCCCGATGTCTCGCAGCACCCGGATACCACAACCCCACCCGGAGAAGGGGCCAGCATCCAGCTGCCCCCAGAGATGCTCCTGATACCCCGGGAGACTGCAGCATCCCCTGCATCCCGTGGGATCAGCCCTGGGAGCTAATCCCACCGGGGATCCAGGGGGAAAATGGGGTTCAAAGTGCATGAGCCGACACGATCAGGCAGGCAGGATGCTTTGGGGGGGGGATCAGGTCACCCCCCTGCCCCGGGCTCCCTCGGCCTCGCCTGCTTAATGTTTTCCATCTGTCCGCCAGCCTTTGTGCCGAGCCGGTTTCGCCCAAAGTTTTCCTGGCTCCAGGCTCCGGGGTCGGTCGCCTCCCTCCTCGTTTCCATCCCACCTTTGCCAGCCCCCCCGGGGGGTTACAAATCTAATTTTTTTGGACGTTGTCCCCATCCCGAGGTGCCAATTTTGTGCCACCCCATGGTGCCACCTTGATGTCCCCAAAGCAGGAGGGACTTGCTGGGTGCCAGACCCCTCGCACCCTCCGTGCCTCCCAACCTAGAGCCAGTCCCAGCCTAAATATAAGCCTAAGCTGGGGTTTTGGGTTAATTTGGGGGTATAACAGGCGATGAGGTGATGCTTGCCCCAGATGGGTGCAGGCACCCAAGCATGGTGGGGGTGGTGGCCGGCTCCTGGGGTTTAAAGGGGTGTCACCTCGCCTTGGGGACCCCGGGGAGGGGGCACTCACCTGGCAGACACAGCAAGAAGAGCCCCACCGCTCTCATCCTGACGGCAGCGATGGAGGAGCAGCGCGGGCCGGGATGCAGCCGGAGTCTGGATGGGGCAGAGGGAAACACGGAGGGGTTAGCGGAGAGGGGGGGATGCGGACCCCCAAACCCCTCGGTTCCCCATCCCCGACCGCAGCCCCCCGCAGCGTGATGCCCCGCGCATCTCTGCCTGAGTTGCTCAAAAAAAACCAAACCCAAACCCTAAAAAAATAAAGAAACTTCCCCAAAAAAGGCAGGCTGGGCTTCCCGCCCCGACCGCACGCTCCCAGGGGAATTGCAAGGACCAAGCCCTGAAATATCCCGCGGGCAGGACGGGGGATGAGAAATGCCGGGATGTCTGAATCACCACCATGGGGGGAGACATCTGGACCCCCCCTGGCGATAACAGACCCAGAGCTGGAGGTTTGGGGCTCCTCGCCGGGGGTTTTCAGCCCCGCTGCTTGGCAAAGGGTTTATTTTGGGGGTCCCCACGCCGGGGGATGCTGCGCTTGCTCGGGCATCCCCTAAATCCAAGAGGATGTGGAGATTTGGGGAGGGAAAAAGTGCTTTCAAGAAAAATCCCGCGCTGGAGTTTGGCAGCCTCGGGCGCTCGCGGCTCTCCGGCGCTTTCCAAGCGACGATTTGCATGTCGAGCGTCTGCTTTCCCCGGCGGGGAGACGGGCCAAGGCCGGCTGTGCCGCCGGTGAGCCGGGCCCCCTTTCCCGGCGCGGGCTGGCAGGGACGCCGGCTGCCCTTCCCCCTCGCCCCGAGCCAGCTCCAGGGGGAAAATTGGGGGACAAAAAAGAGAAATTCTCCCCCAAAATTCCTTCAAAATCCAACCGAACGCGTTTGGCTGTTGAGGATGAAGCACCTTGGCTTTCCCGGCACGCCAAGACGCCGCAGGGATGGGGAACCCCTCCTGGCTCTGCTGCAGGAGCAGAGAAACTGAGGCACGGGTGGAGACACGCCGAACCCACTGGTCTCTCGCCCCCGCTGAGGGGGACCATCAGCCCTCCATGCCAGGAGGCACCCAAGCACCCACCCCGGCTCCCTGCTGAGCCGCGGCTGGGTGCAGCACCTGGGACGGGAACGCAGCTCCAGCCCAGCCCAGCACCGTCCCTGCTGGGTTTCAGACCGCACTGGGGAAGGTGGGGTCAATGGGACCGACTGCAGCACCACCACAGTGCGGCATCTTCTAGCCACCATGTCCTCACCATCACCAGAGCACAGCACCTTCTACAGACCATGTCCTGCACCATCCCCATAGTGCTGCACCTTCTGGCCACCATGTCCTCACCATCACCAAAGTGTAAGCATCTTCTAGGGACCTTGTCCTGCACCATCACCAAAGCATAGCACAGCACCTTCTAGCCACCATGTCCTCACCATCAAAGTGTAGCACCTACTAGTCACCACGTCCTCCAGATCACCAAACTGTTGCACCTTCTAGCCACCATGTCCTCACCATCACCAAAGCACAGCACCTTCTAGCCACCATGTCCTCACCAAGCACCTTCTAGCGATCATGTCCTGCACCATCACCAAAGCGTAGCACCTTCTGGCCACCATGTCCTCACCATCACCAAAGCGTAGCACCTTCTGGCCACCATGTCCTCCAGATCACCAAACCGTTGCACCTTCTAGCAATCGTGCCCTTGCACCACCACCACAGTTGCATCTTCTAGGCACCGCATCCTCCTCCATTCCCAGGCTCGCAGGTGCTGGAGATGTTGACAACTGACTTCCAGACCCTTCCCAGCTTTGGCAAAGCCAGACAGTTGGTCCCTGTCCGACCTGGGATCAGATCACCGAGCTCAGCCGGCAGTTTGGTGGTCCCATACGAAGCGCCCAGCAGCGCTCTGTCCCCAACCCACGCCTGCACCTCGGTGGGACCCGGCTCCCCGCAAGCCCCAGCTGCTTCCCACAGCAAAGGAAGCCCCAGAGCCGGGTTTAACCAAGACTGAACATGTCCTGGGATAAAAGGGATTGTGGGGGGATGAGCGGGATCAACGTGCGGCTCTGGGCTTGGCAGGCGCTTGGCAGGGGTCCGGGAGGCTTTATCGAGCCTCGGCGGCTGCTGGCAGACCTTGGGTTTGGGGGGGGGCCCGGCCAGGACAGGGCTGCTACGGGGACCGGCAGGGTTTGGGGCTACCTCGAGGCGGCAGAAAGGGGCCGTAGGTACCCATCCCGACCTTTGCCGGTTCTCCAGATGCCGGGATCCTGCGGGATGCCGGCGCCAGTGTCCTGCGGTGCCAAATCACCCTGACCTGGCGCTCGTATCCCACCCAGGACAGCCGGGGGCCAGACGGACCCCCAGCTCCGGAGGCATCCCAAGCTGTCCTCCAGCGATCCCAAGGACACAGCCACACGGCTCAGGATTAACCTGCCCTGCCAGCCCCCTTTTTGCCCCAAAGCAATCTGCAAAGCGCCCAAGGCTTCTCTCAAAGTCTAATTCCCCCTGAATTTCCCCCAAACTCGGAGATCTTGGATGGAGCTCGCGGGATTTGGCCGCGGAATGGGGACAGACGGGTCACGTCTTCCCCCAACGGCGATGCCAACAACTTCTCCTCCCGACGGAGGACACCGAAGCGCCCGCCGCCACCTCCGGCCCCAGCCGGGAGCGATGCCGAGGGTCACCGCGACATTTTTCCTTAAACCCAAGGTCCGCAAAGAGGAGATGGGGCCACCTCCACCCTCCTCCTCCTCCCTCCCCACCCTTGGCTTCTCCTACCGCCCAAGGGACCCGGGGAGGTGCCCCGGGAGGGACCCGAGGTGCCCCCCCCCCAACCTCCGCTCCCCTCCGTGCAGGGGTCCGGCGACTCCAACCGCGCCAGATGTTTTTGCAACTGCACATCTGGGAACAATCAACCCCGAAGAAAGAACACCACAGTCTCTCCCTTTCATTCTGCTAAACCCCACCTTCCCCCAGCCTTTCCCCCCTCCCCCAGCTTTTT